AATGGATTTTTTTTTCACATTCTGTCTCTCACAGTTGAAGTGTACCTCTGGTGCAAATTACTGACCTCTGTCATCATTTTAGGTGGGGGAAGTTGCACAATCGGTGACTGACTAAATACTTTTTTGCCCCACTGTATGTGTGTGTGTGTGTGTGCAGAAAATGCTAAGTGGACACAGGAATCAACCATGTTTTGTCAGAGACACTTTTTCCAGTGCGCTCTAATTCTAGTTTTCACAACATAGAGAAGTGGGAATTTACATGGGGTTAAAATTACCGACACACATTGGATTATTTTGTGAGTACAAACTGACTCACCGTGGAATTCAGACGCAAAGGAGTTCCACCAGAGACTAATTAAGCACTTCTTCATCTTTTAGGATGCCATGTGCTTTGTGCTTGACTCATGTATATGACTTTCGGTTTGTTTTTTTTCTGTGTGTTGGCTTCATCTTGGGTACTCATAACATTTTAATGCTACGTTTGCTTTTCCAGTCTGCAAAAATAAAATGCGTTGTCTCTCTTTGTAGATGACCCGACAGAAGCAGACGTGTGGTTGCTCAACAGCTGCACTGTGAAAAACCCTGCAGAGGATCACTTCAGAAACTCAATCAAGTAATGAAAAAGCACACAAACGATATGTATCCTTGTCTTGTTCGAAGGATCGTTACATTTTAATAGGAACTGGATAAAGAAGTGTTAGCTTTGCTTAGTAGGTCTTTTATATGGGGTTGTGATGGCTCATTTCTCTATCAGGAGAGTTTAAAATACAGGAAAAAAAAGTAAAAAAAATTTAAATTATAAGAAAAAAAGAATTAAAAAATAATATTAACACAAATTAAAAAAACTGGCATAGGTAGAATTGCTGCTCAACAGACAATCAGAAATAGTTTTCTACAAATTAATGTGTGCCAAAAAGATTTCCCCGCTGTAGCGAGTTTGTTTTGTTATAATAATTATGTCTTATATTACTAAATCTGAATCACGATCACAACTATGTGTGACAAGAGAGCACAATTCACTCATAAATAAATGAACATCTAATTGTGTTTTGTTAGAAAACGTAATCCAGGATCAATTTAACACAAATGAACTACAAAACATGGCATGTTTAACACATTTTAAGCCAAAATGCAGAAGCACTAAGTGCAGCCTTACTTCTCCCATAGGAAATAAGAAGGTAAGTAGCCCCCAGGTGCTGCTAATCAAATGCACTTGATTAAGTGATCATTAACAAGGGTGAGCACATCTATAAAAGCAGAATTTTGTCCCTTTTTGCTGGTGTGGATCATTCAGATGATCGTAAAGGAAATGCGAACATTTTTTCCAGGAGCGGACATCCTGAGTTCAGAGCATGAAATTCTCATCGAAACTCCAAAAAACCTAAGAGGTACATCTGAGACTTCACAGCCTCAATTAGCATGTTAATGTACAGTTAGAAGAAGGCTGAAAAGTACTGTTTGTTTGCAAGGGTTGCCCAGAGAAAGCCTCTCCTCTCTATGAATATATATAAAGAATATGGCAGCACAGCTTAGGTTGACAAAGTTGCATCTGAACAGACTACAAGACTTCTGGAACAATGTAGGTCTGGGCGATATGAGGAAAATCTAATATCACAATATATTTTTGGCTATAACACGATATATATCACGATATTGGATTGCATTTTATTTTTTATACAGCGCTTTTCGAGACCCTCAAAGCGCTTTACAATTCCATTA